ACACCCTCACCTTGTTTTCGAGCCTTTGGAGTGTGTCCAAACAAAGCCCATTCTCTCCTTTTACATGCCCATAAGCGTACACATTTTCATCGGGGATGAATTTTTGCGGTATCACATTGTCCAAAAACCATTTGAACGACTTGCACTGCAGTCGCTCTCGAAGCTTCTTCCGCTCTGTCAGATCCCCTACGTCCAAGTCCTGTAAAAAGTAAATCGTTAGCGATATGCGTCGAACAAATCAAAACTCACCTTCAAACCCATTCGATGAACATAGAAAAGCCGTTTATAGTCATCCATCCAAACTTCTGCCAACCGCTTAGAATTTGTTCCGTGAACATCTTTATTATTGTTTCGGCCTACAATGTGAGACCATTTAACCCCATTCGCACTTGCCTAACAGTGGCTAGTTTCAACAGTTTATATAGTGTGTCCCTGCGGTGCCGACAACGCTTGCGCGTAAACAACTCGGAAATGTGCACTCTATCACACCACGCGTTAAATTGTCGGCATTATACAGCAAACGGACAAGTGTTGTCAGTGACGTAGAGCACTAGATGAACTGTCAAATTTACTAGCCTATACATGCTCTTGCATAGAAACGGACGGACTGGGCGGGAAAACTTCGATTAGTACAAAAAATGTACCATTATCTGTCAAGTATAAACACTGCAGTTCACCTGTCATGTCATAAGGGTGTCCTGAACGATAGATGTGACCAACATGAGAACATGGTATCAACTCGATCGATCCTCCACACATCCATACCTGAGAATACGCATTCATTCTTTACAATATTTAGGTTATGTCAGCCTAGCATACTCTGAACGAGATCTCCAAATTTTCCCCGCCCCAAATGTCCATCTCTTCATCGTAGCCTCCAACTTCAAAGAAGTACTCGCGATTAGCAGCAAACAAACCGCCAGCCATCGTGGGCGACCAGAAATACAGCGTTTGATTGAAAGTTAATAAAGGGCAATGAAAAATAAAAAAAATTGAAGGAAAAAAGACAACCCAACCTGA